ACCCGTGTGTCTTATTTGTGGAGCTAATGTGGCTGTAATTAAGGAATATAACCTAAGATGGCACTATGAGACAAAACATCAGGACAAGCTGAAAACCATGACTGCAGAGCAGAAGCTACAGAAGGTAGAGGAGTTGAAGAGGAATCTGACATCACAGCAGACATTTTCACCAAAGTGAAATCACACAGTGAAGCTGCTGTGAAAGCAAGTTTTATTGCAGCAGAGGTGAAAAATCAACCCGGACATTTACCGAGGGAGAGTTTCTGAAGAGCTGCATGATGAAAGTGTGACGTCTTGTGTCCAGACAAAAAAGCAGGTGTTTGCAAATGTGAGCCTTAGCAGAAATACGGTTGCTGATGTTAAGTTCAAGTTTATTTATTTTGGAATAATATTGTATCGTATCTGTTTTGATTCATATTTATGTTGAAAAAACATTTAGTTTTAGTCTGTTCAATAAATTTTTATCCTGTTCGACCCACGACCTAAAGTGTGCTTTGAGTTTTGGCCCCCTGTGTGATTGAGTTTGACACCCCTGTGCTAATGGATGTCAAACTTTTTCACCATGTTTTGCAGCTGTGACCTCTGTGTCCTGTGTGCGTAACACTGCTGGATAATCACAGCTGTCCACAGTAGTAGTAGTAGTAATGTATCTTTGAGAACACTTGGGCATTTTTTCACTATGTTTGTAGAACAGTAAATTAGTGATGTTATGCTCCAAGCAGACAATTTGACACTGTATTGAAAAGGTATTGTGACACGACGTTTCGATGTCTCACTTCACACCGCTAAAATCACGACTACACCAGTGAAGCCTCATTACAGCACACTTGTATCAGTAAGGCATCGTGCTTGTTTTGAATGCTACATGTACTTCTCATTCTGCCATAATGTTTATAAAATGTAGTTTAAAAGTTACATATTACATTATAGTTACATTTTCATATTTCCAGTTTTATTGAACACAATTAGCATTAAAAGCATTTAGTGTTTATATTCTGTTTCTTCATGGTCTCAGATTTATTCCACCTATGCAACTGCACTATCAAGGGTTTGGCCAGCAGGTGTAGCCATTTTGACTTTCAGAAGATTTGAACCATTTTCAACACAATTGCTTCATATTGATTAAGTGCTTCATAAAGGCTGGCCTGGGACATCACTACAGTAAATGACCAGGACAGAGCGACAGCTCTGAAAGTGTGCAGGTCACTTTTTGCCAGATGTATGGGCTTGCATTCAGTTCTTCTTTTCATGCGCTCATCCCCTTCTAACAATAGGCATGTGTGTTATATTTTAAAATAATGGGTTTAGTCTATCCTGTGAACACATTGTTAGTTTAAAACACAGACGTATTTTGTACTACGAAACCTGTACAATGACACTGTCATATAGAAATATGTAGCACTGATGGAGAAAACAAGGCTTTATGAACCACTCAGTCAATAGGAAGCCATTGCATTAAACAGTTCGCTGTTTAAGAGAAGTGGCAACAACTGCTGGCCAAATGCTTGAAACTGCATTTATCTGAGACCTTGGTGAAATGGTTAATACAAGTGGTATGACAAGGTAAGGCTGGTTATTTTGCACGTCTTTCTTGGGGGTGGTTTGAAAATAACAGAGAAAAGCTAACAATGAACCTCCTGTGCTCACTGAGATTGTTTCCAGAGCCTTTTGTTTTTTAAGAGTTCCAAAGGCTAAGAACAGCCATCCATTTTTAGTCTCTGAAGCAAGAGTCTCAGTTGCACATTGTGATCTCTGCCGTCTTCTGACGTTACAGTATGTGTAGCATGAGAATCTAGTAGAGTAGTGAATTCACAGGCATTACAGTGAGCACACCAAATTTATGGTTGGCTTTAGTCTGTATGGAATTTGTGGAAAATAAACTGAAATTACAGCCTTATTATTCAGCGTTTTTATTACTGTTATTTTGTTCATCTATGTCTCTCGGCTGGCCTGGGAACACCTTAGCATTCCACCTGAGGAGCTGGAGGAAGTGTCTGGAGAGAGGGAAGTCTGGGCATCTCTGCTTAGACTGCTGCCCCCACGACCCGGTTCTGGATAAGCGGAAGAAAATGGATGGATGGATATTTTGTTCATGAAAGCTTCTATTAGGGAACCTAAAGTGCCTCTGCAACTATGTCTTAAAGACTGACAGAATGAGAAGCATGTATAGTACTCATAACATTGTGACACCTCTTTGACATGATGTTTGGGACAGGTCAATGATTTTCAGCCAGGTGAACTAGGAACTTGAACTAGGAAGCAGCACTTGCGTAATTCATAACTTGGAGTGACTAAGCCAACCTGAGAAGAAATGTCATAAAGATGGGAGAGCAGCCAGTGGATGTAATCTGCCTAATGAACACTATCACATTTCTAGAGTGTGAATGTGCTGAAAGGGCAGCTCACTTACAGGAGTGGAGGTGGGCACACTGGTATGCACTGCACCTGGGCAGGAGGTGCTGCAGTGTGTCGACTCCTCACAGCTCTATCAGGGGACACAGCTGGTTGGCAGCTCATGTTTGGGGGGGTGTCTGAGTCTCGTGCAGAGTCTGTGAATCACAGAACAGATCAGCTCCTTAATACTTGACAAACTCATTTAATCTACTGCAGACTGAGATCATGTATGCACTGTGCTCAGTGACTAAAGAAATTAGGACAAGTTCAGATTCTGACAAGTTACTGACTGTCACAGCCACACACTGAGTAAAAGCCTGATTATTATCCACAGGTCTACAAGGAAGCATTTCAAACTGAGTGCTCTGTAACAGTATATCTGAGCAGCAGCATCCAGACCTGGCTTGGTGCTTCTGTATGGTTCAGGGCGACCACAGAGAGGACAGTGGTGACAGCAGGAAGAGTGGGTTGGCCCTCTGATACCACCAACCGGACTTGACAGTGTGCGACAGACTGGAGGGGTGTATACAAACCCTGATCGATAACTCAAAGAACAAAACTGAAAATACTTGTTTCAAATGAATGAAAATATAGTCAAGTAAGATTAAATACATAAAAGAAGAACAACAGATTTTGTGCTGACGACAAGAGATGTGTTCTTACGTTCAGCACGTCCTCTGTGATGTAACAAACACTGAGGACAAAGAGAAGCTTGACGTCCTCTGCTGTCACGTTCATCTTCTCTTTCAGAAACTTGTATAGACTCGTTGGAAAACTGCCCTACAACACATACATGCACAGTTGAGGCTTAAGAAAAGTTTGTGGTAGACAAACTCTTTCCTGTCAAAAATGCATTGACAAGTACATGAATATGATCTCAATACATCATATAGACCGGTGGCAAAAGTAAACACCTGAGCAACTGAGTGGTCTCTTCCAGGAGACCAGGTCACTGAATGATTAAATGAGGTGAAACAGAATGCTATGGCCTTCACAGTCACTAGATCTCAACCAAGTAAACTGGCATGAACATGCAGTTATGTGTATTTATGGAAATATGTTTCTCACATTTTAGGAGGGTATTTGGAAGCTGGTGAAGACAGGACAGACTGAGGGAAGCAATAATACACCAATCAGGCATAACATTATGACCACCTGTACATCTGTATGCACTTTAGTGCAACACTTCTCCCTTTACATTTGTCTTTTATGAAGCTCAAAATGTTTCAGTTTTTGGTGAGATTGTCTTAAATGTATAAATTCAATTACATGTTCATTATTGAGGTCATAGTTAAAGGTGGTGTTGTACTCGACTACATTATATTCAGAGGTGTCTGTATATTTTTGTCCTGCCCATTGACATACATGAGAGGGTCAGAATATTAGGAACACGTCTGAATAAAATGTAGCCCAGTACAACACCACTGAAGTACATACAGATGTACAGGTGGTCATAATGTTATGCCTGATCAGTGTATATACACTTGTATGGTATATGGGCAGTGATGAAGCTACTGCTGTAGGCTTAATATAGCAGTGCATCCTGCCAGCTGTTACACTTCATTGCAATTAAATAAATGTAATTCCACAAATTAATTTGCCAGATAATTGCTTGGCAATACTGAGGTCTCAGTTGAATTAGTGCTGGATTGTGCATTTCCATTCTGAACTGCATCAGCAGGGGACTGGGTTGTCCCTTTAGAACAACAGACTAGAGGCTGCAGGTTCTACAGGTCCTGTGTCAGCGTGTCCATTAGCAAGACACTAAACTGCAACATTTAGGCAGCATCTGAAGTTGTCTAAAAAGTCAGCTGGATTTCTGTTTGGTGTGGTAGAAGCCAACTGACCTAAATGTATGCATTACTGTACTTACTGGAGTGTGTGCTCCTGCTGTGGGTGGTATTTGTACATGTGCACCTGTTGTCTGGTACTAGAGCAGATGTCTGAGTACATCTAGATCTCTGAGGCACTGAGGACTTTATCTCTGAACCTGTCAATGGAAAAAAAAATGACATGCATAACATCCTTAGTATAAATGTGCCATGTCTATATATGATCTAGAGTATATACAAGTCAAAGTTTAAATCATCTTGTCCTTCACTGAAGAGCGATACTGTACTACAAACATATGCAAGTAGCAAATTTTAGATTATAGCAGATCCTTCCAGCAAAGTTCTGAGTGGGGGATAAAGTAAAAATCCAGATCAACTTACAGATGTCAGGCTGTGTTTTCTGTCTCGGTGCAGAAGCTGATCTCATCCTGGTTGTGCGTCTCATTGCAGAGTGCTCAATCTCATCCGCTGCCT